GTCTTGACCTTGTATTGCGTCATCATAACTGCTGCGCTACTAGTGACGAACTCGAAGTTACTTTCGGATTATTGAAAATATCGATATTTAAAAAATCATAACAATAAATAAATATTTAATATTCATATTGTTTCGATACTTATTTTTATATATCACACATTAGTATTATTTTTGATTGTAAAACAGTATTTCTAACAGAAATAGATTAACGATTTATCCTAATAATACAACATATTTAATTTACCTGAAGAAGTTCCAAATTATAATATTGATTAATAATATTTATTATTTATAAAAGTTATTTTAAATGACTAATGAAAAGCATAACTACTTATAGCAATATTGAAAATGTCGATAGAATATTTATCGATATACTTATCTAATAAACACTAACAAAAGACGAGTGTGCCACGCCGGCGGCCGGCGCCTGCGATCAAAGGCCGCGCATGCGTCTTCGCGACGATACGGTGTCTTGACCTTGTATTGCGTCATCATAACTGCTGCGCTACTAGTGACGAACTCGAAGTTACTTTCACATTATTGAAAATATCGATATTTAAAAAATCATAACAATAAATAAATATTTAATATTCATATTGTTTCGATACTATTTTTTATATATCACACATTAGTATTATTTTTGATTGTAAAACAGTATTTCTAACAGAAATAGATTAACGATTTATCCTAATAATACAACATATTTAATTTACCTGAAGAAGTTCCAAATTATAATATTGATTAATAATATTTATTATTTATAAAAGTTACTTTAAATGACTAAAGAAAAGCATAACTACTTATAGCAATATTGAAAATGTCGATAGAATATTTATCGATAAACCTAATTTTTAAACTTGCAAATTTCTATTCGAAACACTAACAAAAGACGAATGTGCCACGCCGGCGGCCGGCGCCTGCGATCAAAGGCCGCGCATGCGTCTTCGCGACGATACGGTGTCTTGACCTTGTATTGCGTCATCACAACTGCTGCGCTACTAGTGACGAACTCGAAGTTACTTTCACATTATTGAAAATATCGATATTTAAAAAATCATAACAATAAATAAATATTTAATATTCATATTGTTTCGATACTTATTTTTATATATCACACATTAGTATTATTTTTGATTGTAAAACAGTATTTCTAACAGAAATAGATTAACGATTTATCCTAATAATACAACATATTTAATTTACCTGAAGAAGTTCCAAATTATAATATTGATTAATAATATTTATTATTTATAAAAGTTATTTTAAATGACTAATGAAAAGCATAACTACTTATAGCAATATTGAAAATGTCGATAGAATATTTATCGATAAACCTAATTTTTAAACTTGCAAATTTCTATTCGAAACACTAACAAAAGACGAATGTGCCACGCCGGCGGCCGGCGCCTGCGATCACAGGCCGCGCATGCGTCTTCGCGACGATACGGTGTCTTGACCTTGTATTGCGTCATCATAACTGCTGCGCTACTAGTGACGAACTCGAAGTTACTTTCACATTATTGAAAATATCGATATTTAAAAAATCATAACAATAAATAAATATTTAATATTCATATTGTTTCGATACTTATTTTTATATATCACACATTAGTATTATTTTTGATTGTAAAACAGTATTTCTAACAGAAATAGATTAACGATTTATCCTAATAATACAACATATTTAATTTACCTGAAGAAGTTCCAAATTATAATATTGATTAATAATATTTATTATTTATAAAAGTTATTTTAAATGACTAATGAAAAGCATAACTACTTATAGCAATATTGAAAATGTCGATAGAATATTTATCGATATACTTATCTAATAAACACTAACAAAAGACGAGTGTGCCACGCCGGCGGCCGGCGCCTGCGATCAAAGGCCGCGCATGCGTCTTCGCGACGATACGGTGTCTTGACCTTGTATTGCGTCATCATAACTGCTGCGCTACTAGTGACGAACTCGAAGTTACTTTCACATTATTGAAAATATCGATATTTAAAAAATCATAACAATAAATAAATATTTAATATTCATATTGTTTCGATACTTATTTTTATATATCACACATTAGTATTATTTTTGATTGTAAAACAGTATTTCTAACAGAAATAGATTAACGATTTATCCTAATAATACAACATATTTAATTTACCTGAAGAAGTTCCAAATTATAATATTGATTAATAATATTTATTATTTATAAAAGTTACTTTAAATGACTAAAGAAAAGCATAACTACTTATAGCAATATTGAAAATGTCGATAGAATATTTATCGATAAACCTAATTTTTAAACTTGCAAATTTCTATTCGAAACACTAACAAAAGACGAATGTGCCACGCCGGCGGCCGGCGCCTGCGATCAAAGGCCGCGCATGCGTCTTCGCGACGATACGGTGTCTTGACCTTGTATTGCGTCATCATAACTGCTGCGCTACTAGTGACGAACTCGAAGTTACTTTCACATTATTGAAAATATCGATATTTAAAAAATCATAACAATAAATAAATATTTAATATTCATATTGTTTCGATACTTATTTTTTTATATATCACACATTAGTATTATTTTTGATTGTAAAACAGTATTTCTAACAGAAATAGATTAACGATTTATCCTAATAATACAACATATTTAATTTACCTGAAGAAATTCCAAATTATAATATTGATTAATAATATTTATTATTTATAAAAGTTACTTTAAATGACTAAAGAAAAGCATAACTACTTATAGCAATATTGAAAATGTCGATAGAATATTTATCGATAAACCTAATTTTTAAACTTGCAAATTTCTATTCGAAACACTAACAAAAGACGAGTGTGCCACGCCGGCGGCCGGCGCCTGCGATCAAAGGCCGCGCATGCGTCTTCGCGACGATACGGTGTCTTGACCTTGTATTGCGTCATCATAACTGCTGCGCTACTAGTGACGAACTCGAAGTTACTTTCGGATTATTGAAAATATCGATATTTAAAAAATCATAACAATAAATAAATATTTAATATTCATATTGTTTCGATACTTATTTTTATATATCACACATTAGTATTATTTTTGATTGTAAAACAGTATTTCTAACAGAAATAGATTAACGATTTATCCTAATAATACAACATATTTAATTTACCTGAAGAAGTTCCAAATTATAATATTGATTAATAATATTTATTATTTATAAAAGTTATTTTAAATGACTAATGAAAAGCATAACTACTTATAGCAATATTGAAAATGTCGATAGAATATTTATCGATATACTTATCTAATAAACACTAACAAAAGACGAGTGTGCCACGCCGGCGGCCGGCGCCTGCGATCAAAGGCCGCGCATGCGTCTTCGCGACGATACGGTGTCTTGACCTTGTATTGCGTCATCATAACTGCTGCGCTACTAGTGACGAACTCGAAGTTACTTTCACATTATTGAAAATATCGATATTTAAAAAATCATAACAATAAATAAATATTTAATATTCATATTGTTTCGATACTTATTTTTATATATCACACATTAGTATTATTTTTGATTGTAAAACAGTATTTCTAACAGAAATAGATTAACGATTTATCCTAATAATACAACATATTTAATTTACCTGAAGAAGTTCCAAATTATAATATTGATTAATAATATTTATTATTTATAAAAGTTACTTTAAATGACTAAAGAAAAGCATAACTACTTATAGCAATATTGAAAATGTCGATAGAATATTTATCGATAAACCTAATTTTTAAACTTGCAAATTTCTATTCGAAACACTAACAAAAGACGAATGTGCCACGCCGGCGGCCGGCGCCTGCGATCAAAGGCCGCGCATGCGTCTTCGCGCATGCATCTTCTTTGACACGAGTTTTGATCAAGTAATGCCACCAATTCTGCATCTTTGAAAACCTTCTCTCTTCCACCGCCATGCCGGTCTTCGACGTCAAAATCACCGTTCTTGAAGCGTTGAAACCACTCTCGGCACGTTCTTTTACTAATAGCAGCCTCACCACAGGTATTTGAGAGCATTCGATGAGCCTCAGCCGCAGATTTCTTCATATTAAAGCAGAAAATTAAAACCTCCCGCAAATGACGAGAATTTGGCTCGTAAGCTGACATGTTTAATCGAGAATAACTTTATGATGCAGACACAAATCGACTAATATTTCGATGGCGTTATGTTTACAAATGCCTAAGCTTATTGTATGACATCTACGATCTATTTATTTCGACTACCACTTACCGCTACAACCATCTATTGCAAAACGGCGGAAGCAAAGTTGTACACCTATGTATATATATATAAGTCCGATTTGAACTTAAGAAACAAAAGATTTATATTGTTATTTGTATAAACAATGTGAAATGATAAAATAGTGTTCAAAACTGTTATTGCTCTTACTTAATAAAAAAGGAATTAACAAAATTACTAAATTAAATAGTAATGGAGATAAGGGAGGTAATTTATTTCTACAATAAATTTCTTTAAAACCAATACCTTTTATAATACACACCCCAGGCAAAAATTACATGCACTTTGAATTGATGGTTAAGTCGTTCCTTAATAACTGGTAATTTCATTTATGTCGAGTAGAGTCAGTACTTAAAAAGATCCGAAGAATTTTTTTGCTAGGAAATGATTAACAAATTCATATTTCCTTGAATAAATTTATATATAAACTAATATACTAAACATACATAAACTAATATACCAAAACAAGATCAATTGTACTCTTAAAAAAATCATAAACCTTCAGGTGAAAAACTACAAAAAGTTTACTCTTAAAATATATATAAAAAAATTAATAAACTATTGAATAGTATAACCTTAACCGATAGAAAAAGGAACTCAAATTTTGAAATTGAACGTATCTTTTGAATTATTTGCTGACCTTACACAAAATAATATCACATAAAAATGTTAAAATCCAAATTTTTCACTTCTACTTACCAGTGGGTCAATTGTCAGCGACGGTCAAAGCATATTATCGTACAAAATGAGATTTGACGAACTGCCTCCTATATTTGTCGGTACTATTATTCGACAATTAAATTTACTCAAATTTATCGGAATAGACGTTTTTGACGAAAGTAATTGTAATTTCATAAAACGAAACGTTCGAGTAATGTTCCTTGGCAGTAATCTTATAACAACGGTAATTGGTCAAGTCCTTTATGTTTTAAAGGCTAAGAAGATCGGTGCCAACTTCTTGGACGTAGTTAACGCCATTCCAACAGTTTTGATAGCCATTCAAGGTAAAAAAGCGTTTCTGTTTTTTTAATCTTTATGTGTGAATAAATTAGTATATAAAAAAGATAATGTTTGTCTTAGTTCTATGGAGTATTAATAAAAGTAGAACTCATTTGTTTAGCTACTAATGAAAAAAAACAGACATATTTATTTTAAAATATGAAATTTCAGTATGCTTGAAATTGATAGTTCTAACCGTTAAGAAAAATCAGCTTCGAGATATAATTTTGGATATAGGAAAAGAGTGGCCCGATGTTGTCAACGAGGAGAAAAGTAAGGTCGTACTTACGTGGACCAAACGCTTGAAAATCTTTGATAACGGTAATAATTTTGTTTTGTACAGTACCTAAACTTTTACGATACCGTTTTCCATTATAAGAAGGTAGGTAATCAATATCGCACTTACAATTTTACACCGCGGGTTTTTCTCAAACTAATTTAAGTTCCTGAACTGTTTCCTTTACTTCCGTATCGCTATAATAAATAAACAAATCTCTATAGAGAAGGACAACTCATTGATACCGTTAATAAAGTGGAAGACTACGCCAGAGAAGATGTTTACAGATGGCAATATGCTTATAAGTTTTAAGACCACAAGAAATTTAAGCCAAATTCGATAGAAGTTAACTTTACCTTATCTTTTTTATATCCAATCCAATAAACACATATGTACGTCAAAATTTATTATGTAGAGATCTCTTCAGATACTGGAATAACATATTATAAATAGCATACGATATTCGAGAGCTTTTTTGTGTAATCCATGTTCGTATATTAAACTGTTATGGCTAAATTGTTGTAAGCCTTAAAGCTATTTTATTTATATGGACAATTAACAAAGACCCTTTAAAACGAATTAAACTTAATTAAAAATTATTATAAATTAACAAACGTTATAAGAAAACTTAGAAAATAAGAATTAAAAACGTACTTACGTGACTGTTACTATTAATATGGCCAAATTTGTTTAGTATCTTTTAACCTTTCTTCCAAATATTGGTACTGTTTAGACTGGACTTAAATCTCTAAGGAGATGTTTTTAGATTTAGATTTTGATTATCACTGGAAACAAAACGATAAAATATTTCTCAATAAAAATAATTCCAAGCTATAATAAATATCCTTAAAAAAAAAAGAGGTATTCACTGCACTTGTAAAACACCCTCTACCTTCGAGTTTTTTGCGTTGTAATCTATACATATAATAAAATTGTAGAAAAGTGCTGTCTGTACATTGAAAATAAAAATATCAGGGGTTATTGTTATGTCGATGGCGAACCCAAAAATGTAATTAACTTTTTTTTGTCTGTCTATGTGTCTGTTCACGCTAATCTCAGAAACGGCTGATCCGAGTTGGATGCGGTTTTCACGAATATATTGTGGTATGCTTCAGTTATGCTTTAGTGTTTGTTTCATGTCAATCGGTTCATAAATAAAAAAATTATGTCAAATTAAAGAATCACGTCGAACACTATTCTATGCTTATACATACATAGGCACCAATAATAAAAATAAGTATATATTTAAAAAAAAAACGCTGCTCATAGTCACTATTCCACGCGAACGAAGTCGCGGGCACAGCTAGTATATAATATTAACCTTACTATCTTATAAACGAGTTTTCTGAATTATACTCAGCCTTATTTGTATCAGGAACTTGTAAGCACTACTACATTAAATCATTTTTTCAACAGCATTTTTCAGAGTCGCAGTTGTTTCAATATTATGTTTTTCCATTTCGCCGTTGCTAATCACAATTTATAAATTCAAAACTCAAACTGATCCTAGGTATGAATTAATCGTACAAGTTTATTTTTTTTGTGATATCAACTCCAACTTCAAATACGCATTATTTTGGGTTCAACAGTTTTTTTTATGTAAGTCAATATTTTCTATTATTCTCTAATGTATATTTCTAAATCGTTGAATTTAAATTTAATAATGATAGGTGTATATTTCATAGCATTATTTAATTGTATGTACCTTATCTTCTTCTACCTGGCAATTTTTCCCAGTTCTAGCCAGGGTCTGCCTTACTTGTTGTGAATAGTTTTGGCTAATTGTTTTTACGACCGGCCGCCTGCCTGACATCAAACCTCTTTGGGAATGCATTAATCAGTGATGTCTAAATACATACTTTTAGAAAGTACATATGACTCTGAAAAATCACACTGGTACTTGCCAGGGCAAGGATCGAACCCGCGCCCTCGTGCATGAGAGGCGGGTCTTTTAACCACTAGGCCACCACTGACTCATATATCTGATCATGTATATAACTTATATGCATATCTTACCTATGTTACATATACCTATTGTAATTCGCCCATTTTACTTAAAAATGACTGTTGGGATTTTAATTATTAAAAAGGAAGAATAACCTAACTTTCTTTTCTTTTTTTGTGCGAATTGAGACAGAATTTTTCTTTAAAACGTCATTTTGTAAGGAGAGTAAAATACTATAATTTACTGTAGGTGTTGTATCCCATCTTTGTATCTACGTCGCTTGTGACTTAGTCCTGGTAAATCTGATCTTTGACTTAAGCACTCTGCTGTGTTTAGTCCACATAGACCTTAAAAATTTGGGACCACCATCTCATGGACAAATTATAGAAGATGACTGTGATGATATGAAAAAAATTGCCAGAAAACATCAGACTTTGTTACGGTATGTTAAAATCATTATATTGATACTGAAATAAATTTATTAATACATAACTTATACCAGTAAAGGAAAAATAATGAAATGAATAAACAAAAAAAAAACATAAGGTACTACCCCTCTTCTATTTTCAGGTTAACGGAGAGATTAAATGATATTTTTGGACCAGTTATATTTATCCAATTATCGTTTTCATCAATCGTCATTTGCTGCTATGGCTTTTTGGCAATTGTAAGTATTTCTTCAAAAAGTAAGTTAAGTTTCAATGTCTGTCTTTTAGAGTGATTGCTGTGTAAAATTGATATCTACTATATATATATATATATATATATATATATATATATATATATAAATATTCTGTAAATAAGAAATAAGTTTTTGTTACCCAGTTAACAAAATTAAAAAATAATAATGAAATTCTTTCTTAAAATATAATAATATATAATACCTACTTCTAAATTAATATCATTAGGGTATGATGGGTCGCGAAAGTATTAAGTAATCACTTGTCCCGGCCGCTTGGACGGTAAAGGGCGGACCTGTTTAAATACTTATAAAATAAAGCTATTTTTCCGGGTAATGTATGGTTATTAATGATTTCTTATGTGTATACGGTTCTGAAAATTTATAATACATGCACGTTACAATTCAAAATGTTAGACATTATGTTGTTTAGTCATTGTTGAATTTGGCTAGAAGGTAATTTATAGAAATTAGCAACTTAGTAAATAAGAGATTGCAGTTACTTTAACTTTCATGTTGCAAAACTCCTCCAAATATAACGTTTCAATTTTAGATTGCTAATGGAATGTTCTTGAAGAATATGGCAGCTTCACTTGGTATTGTGTTTGCTATATTTGTGTTAGCTTGGCCTGGACAAAAGCTAATTGACATGGTAAGTTATGTAAAATTGTAAAGTTTTGCTCGGTTAACAGAGCGGAGAAAAATTTTAATATGGTGAAGTCTATTTTTATACAGCGTCTGTAAAATAGGATTTTTGTGGATCGAGAACTTTTAAGAAGAAGTTTCCTACTCCCTAATGGTTTCGATTAGACAAAGTTGAAGCAACTTCGTAGTTTTTTTGCAATAGTTTTTCTGAAATGAAGGTTAAGTAAGTTAAGCTAAGCTTTCGTCTACCCTTGTAACTGGAAGAATACTGATTTAACTTTGAGTTCGAAAATAAAACCTTTTAGTTACAGAATAGTCAACAAAGTAATCATTTTAGTATCGGGGAGTTTTTTAAACACATTTTTATTTACTAGACTTTAAAGAAAGATTTTAAATGTTCTCACGGTCGCTATTTTGAGAATAGGTACTAATACTTTTATGATAATCCTTACATTTAGAGCCTGTAAATTATATTACAAAAAAACTTCTACTGTTATTTAGCATAAACAAAGTATTTCGTTTTAGAACCCGTAATAACGTAGAATTTTACCTATAATAGATGACATTTAAATATTCGATTAACTTTGTTGTAATTTCTTTGAACAACTTTGTTATAACTTTTTTTGTACAATGTGCCTTAGAATACCAATTATTTTTAAAGGGGATTCTATGAAAAACTTTAAATTTTTAATACATTATAAAAGGTTTCTATTCTCTATGGATTCCAAGATGCAGATTGAAAGAACTTTTTATATCTTTGTTTTAGTTATAGTCGTTCTGGTTTTAATTAGAGAAAGATTTTATTAACATGTTATAAAATATTATGCATCTATATTAAAATGTTTTTCTGTTTTGTTTCTTCTCATTGATATGTATACTTATCTTATTACATTTTTTTATATTCTAGAGTTCTGGTGTCGCAGAAGCAGCTTACCAAAGTGCTTGGTATGAAAGGAACAACAAATTCAGAAAATATATTTCAATTGTGATTGTAAGGTAAAAAGAAACTACGTTGGTGAATTGTTGGTTTTAAGTTAAAATGAAAAGAAATAAATATTGGAATAATAAGAAATAAATATATATATATTCTTTTGTTAGAAGAACAATTCGTAGATATAATGCCATATGTACCATATATGTATGGCATTATCCCTACGTATCTCATAGTATATATACACCATGTATAGAATATGTGAAAAAGTTTTAGCTGCAGGAATTTAATCGTGTTCTTTTATTATCCCGCTCTTCACTGGATTTGGAACATTCACACGGTATTTTACATACAAAATCCGTAAAACACCGTCCATGTTTTCTACTTTTTAATCAAAACTTTTACTAGTGTTTTTAATAACAGGAGATAACGTCACTAGTATTTACGATTTAAAGTCTATATTTTATAACATATCTATCTTTAAAATTTTATTGAAATCCAAATTAATTTTAATATTGTATAAAAATTATTTCAGATCTAGAAAGTCGTGTAAACTATCTGCTTTAGGATTTTCTGATCTTACGCTCGAAATGTTTTCAAAGGTAAACAAAGGTTTTAAAACAGTTAATTTAAATATATCAAAAATTTCTTTCAATCAATCTATAATTTTTTATTTATAATTTATATTGTGACACACATCATGCTTTTCTTAATAAAAACTGTAGATAAATCCCTATCATCGGACTTAAAGTTAAAATGGTAAAAAATGTTATTCTCCCAATTGGCTAACTATTTATTTTGTTTCAATACTGTACTCGCACATAATATCTTTTAAATGAATATATGATATTTATATTTTCAGGTTATAAGTACATCTTGGTCATACTTGTCGCTGTTGAATCAGATGTACAAAGATTTTGATCCTTAAAATAATTCACGCAAAGCACATATTTGAGAGAACAAGCAACTTTCAAGAAAATAAACAAAAATAGATCTATATTTTGCACAAAATTTATACAATCGTTATTTAAACAGACACAGGATAAGAAAATAAAATGTAATTTATTTGTTTGCAATATTTTTATTTGTATTGTCAATAATATTTAACAATATGTTCAGAAATTCTTATAATAATAAATTTTTATAACCAATTATAATGTTGACTCATATTTATAAAATGTACAATACCTAACTATGTATAATCTTACGAACTTAAAAACTGTAATATTAAATATTTGATTTATATATTCAAAATTGTATACAATATATATCTTGTTACATTACAATCATAATAATACATAAAAAATAAAAATTACCCGATCTATTTACATTGTTAAGTTTATAAATGAAGCCGTTTTTTATTCATTCCTGGTGTGGGGCTACTCTTGGATATAACTGAAAAAGAAAAAAACAATATTAGAGAATCTCATATCACGCTAAAGATTTAGCCGCTAGATGTTTGCCATTAATGAAAAAAGAGTTTTAGAAATTGTCTTTCAACTTGACCGAATCTATGAAGATTCCTTATCGCTATGACAAAGAAAACAGAGGTTGCTGTTAAACACTTCTACTATGATTTTATGAAAAGGCATCCTGAGTTATCGTTGCTAATTCCTGAGTCGACAAGCTTGATGCGGGCCGTGGGATTTGACAAACCACAAGTAGACCGATTTTATGCTTAGAAGATAACGACGAGGGCTGGATACAATGCTCCAGTTACCGTGAGAGGGCTCATGAAGCTTGTGCCGACATTCCAGAATGTTCAAACGCCTACATATGTGATCGTTGTCAGATATATTAAAACTTTCAGGTACTAGGTGCCATTTGCAGAGGCTGCGATTATTCTCACCAAAGTTTAATTTAAGATTTTAAATATGTTCAACCAAAAGTTGCAAATTTATTTGTTATATTTTGATTTTAATGTTTATTGAAGTAGTTAAATTACCAATAACGATACGTTTTTAAAACCTTTTTGTATTATTTTTACAAAAAAACCTTAAGTGTCCGCCACTAGGGAACTTTCCCTTATATTTTAATCTAATTACAACAACCTTCTACTGCTGCGGAGGTTGGTATTCAAGGCACTGCATCGAAGAATTTTAAGTTTTGAAAAAAGCTGACATTTCGGCTGCATTTATATAAAATATGAAATTAAATATCGCCTATTCGGTTGCATACTTCATTCACCTGTGAATCTGAATTGATTTAATAGGAAGTTTCCATAACGGAGGCACATAATTGTAGCATTTCAAAAGTAGATAGTACAATTACTACATGTATGTGACTGCCTCGGATCATGACCGACCGTTACTGCAAAGCCACCGAAACGTCGAGAGTAGGTACTTAGTTTTTTTTTTAAATAATAAAATACCCGTAGTACTCTGAATAATATTAGTTACATTTAAATTAATACTCGCGAAAGTCTTATATCTCGTTATGTGAACCACCAGTAAGGACTTAAAAACGCTAACAAAATGCACCGGCTTGAGTATCTCAAGACGAAGAAAGCCAGCCATTATTACCATACTTGAATTTCCTCCAGAGATGCCGGGATCATGATATCATATCACATCTACCAAAATATCACCGAAAAAAAGCCTCAAACGTAGCGGCCGGATCCTCCACCGGGCAAGTAAAACGTTGCTTTGTCATCTTATTAGACAACAACGGTCGGATGAAGCACAATTACTAACCTAAGACATTACCTAATAGCCTCACGGTATAGTTCGATACCAAATGTCTTTGAATCATTCGAACTAGTAACATTTAAACTTTAGCATTTTAAAATGCGAACAAAATCAAAAAAGAAAGAAAAACTTGAATAATATTACCAATTACCATAGCAGTTACCTTCATTAAACAATTGCTCTGCCCTTATGTTACCTGGTATGCCTATATAGGATTGAAAATATTGGACTTGTAGTACTTTGTCTTATGATAAAACATTTTTTTTTTAATGAGCTATTGGTAGACCTCGGAAAGTTGAGATGCCTCCATATAAGTCATTTTTCAGAATTAATTAAACCGATGCTTCAAAAGCTAACAGTTTCATGAACATCCTCCTCCCGCTCCCTCTCAGCGGCTTCCTTCGCCGACATTACTGCTTCGGCAAAGTAAACGGCAGCCTCCCAAGCCTCATCGCTGCCAACCATGGCTGCAACCATACTTGGAAGCGAGAGGCTCCTTCTACCGAGCGCCACAGTGAGTACACGGAGTTCTTCTGTCATGCCGGACAAACTAACAGTGTGTGCTCGGCAGTTCTTTTTTATTTTTTTATATTTTTTATTTCTTAGTAATAAATGGTTTACATTTTTTTTTGTTTTCACCAAGCTATTATGCTTGACGTTGAGACGCAAACATTTTGTTTAACATAAAAAAATAAATATAACGGTTCACAATACACAATAAAATTAAAGAAATAAAACAACATCATATTCTTAAAAACTAAAAAGTAAATCAACACTATGTGTAACTTTTATAATATTATACAGTTCACTGCGGTCTTGTTTCACGATGACGACAGGTTTTCGTCATTGAGAAATAAGTCCCTAAGTTTTGTTTTTAACATTTGTTTGCTTATTTTATCATTGTTTTTTAACATATCAATTTTATTAAATACTTTAGGTACAATGTATGTTGACAATCTCTCTCCATAATAATTTTTATAATCTCGTATACATTTTTTATCGGTATTTTATATTCTTTATTGTAATAATACTCTAATCCTATTAAATATTCATTTTTTTTTCAATCGGTAAAATTTTACAAACACTAAAGAGTTTTTCATAGTCCTTATTACAATTATCCTTATTTTTTTTACTTACTAGGAACTTGATCAGTCTTATTTGTAAATTCTTAACGTCCTTTATATACGTCATAAACGTTTGCCCGTAAACAATTAGTCCGTAACTTATCAACGAGTCAGCAAGCGCAAAGTACCTACACGATCCTTAACGTATGTTTATGTAACACCGAATTTAATTGATAAAGTTTACATAATACTGATCTTAACCTGCTACAAACATCATTTACATGTATCTTCAAGTTGAAATTACTATCAATGTTTAGGCCTAAACACTTATTTCTTTTTTTTATGTCAAAGGTGGCAAACGAGCAGACGACCTACTAGATGGGCAGTAGTGACCGTCGCCCATGGACATCCGCTACATAGATGTTACGGATGCGTTGCCAACCTTAATTGTTGAGGAAAAGGAGGGGTGGGATTAGGGAAATATCAGGAAAGGGAGGGAATAGGGAAAAGGCAACCGGCTTTCTCACTCATCGGACGAAACGCAGTCACTAAAGGCTACTTCACGCCGATCTTCTGTGAGAAGGTGGTACTTCGACGGTCAAGCCAGCCCTTGTTCGAGCTGTAGTAACTTGGCTACAGCTAAGCTCTACCACCATCAAAATCTATCTACATATTGTAGTTTTATACAGTCGCAGTTTAATTTGTTGTTATGTAAACAATCATACGTGTGACCTACTACAGTAAGATATTGTGACTCAACGTACTGAGCTGTCCGATTATATGGCGAGTATTCCGCATTCTTCCATCGCTTGCAGTAAGATATTATGGTCTAAGGCATCGAATGCTTTTTTATAATCTATAAAAATGCTTATTATCTGTTTACCAGAGTGCAAGCATTCATTAGTGTATTCTGCAAATTCTGATAAGGCAGAAACAGTGTTGCGGCCTTTCCTAAAGCCATGCTGTGTGTCAGTCAATACTTTATGGTGTTCTAAAAAGTTACTTCTCTGTCCAACAATTATTTTCTCAAAGATTTTATCAATTAAGGACACAATTGCTATAGGCCTATAGTTAACGTCATCTAAATGGCTACCAGATTTGTATATAGGGCGTATTATTGCACTCTATAATTCATCGAGGTAAATACTTTTTGATATGGACTGTGTAGTCGGGGTAGCTATTCTATTTACTCTTTTTTTTTAACGAATACTTCTCTTTTAGTTGTAAAAATCTTCACATCTTGGACAAACAATGACTCATAAAGCTTATTAAGTCCGATTTGAACTTAAGAAATAAAAGATTTATATTCGTCTTTGTATAGAGACAATATGAAATGATAAAATACTGTTCAAGACTGTTATTGCTCTTACTTAATAATAAACGAATTAATAAAATTATTAAATTAAGTAGTAATGGAGATAAGGGAAGTAATTTATTTCTACAATAAATTTCTTTAAAACCAATAGCTTTCATAATACATACCCCAGGCAAAAATTACATGCACTTTGAATTGATGGTTAAGTCGTTGCTTAATAACTGATAATTTCATTTATGCCGAGTAGAGTTAGTACTTTAAAAAAATCCGAAAAATATTTTTGCGAAATACTGGGAAATGATTAGCAAATTCATATTTTCTTGAATAAATTTATATATAAACCAATATAATACAAAACAAAATCAATTGTACTCTTAAAAAATCATAAACCTGCAGGTGAAAAACAACAAACAGTTTACTCTTAAAATATATATCAAAAATTAATAAACTATTGAATAGACCCTTAACCACTAGAAAAAGGACTCAAATTTTGAAATAAAACGTATCTTTTAAATTATTTGCTGACCTTACACAAAATAATATCACTAAATATTTAATACATAAAAATATTAAAATCCAAATTTTTCACTTCTACTTACCAGTGGGTCAATTGTCAGCGACGGTCAAAGCATATTATCGTACAAAATGAGATTTGACGAACTGCCTCCTATATTTGTCGGTACTATTATTCGACAATAAAATTTACTCAAATTTATCGGAATAGACGTTCTTGATGAAAGTAATTGTAATTTCATAAAACGAAACGTTCGAATAATGTTCCTTGGCAGTATTCTTATAACAACGTTAATTGGTCAAGTCCTTTATGTTTTAAAGGCTAAAAAGATTGGTGCCAACTTCTTGG